AATTTAGTTCACATCAGACCTCAACAACCACATTAACACATCAAATGAATGTAGCATTGACAGAAAGAAATACACACAACCACTTATAAACACACCCAGGCTCACCCATATGCACACAGTACAAACCAGTGTTGATGGCTGGGAAGGCTACCGAGCAATAGCGTTCCCTCTCACACTTCTTCAGTATCTTTTTGCAGTTCTTGCGACTCACCTGAGGATCACCCATAAAACTAGCATGGATGATTTTCCTGCAACCAAGGAACCCGGCTCCTGTTGTACACATGGGGTCTAATGGAATGCCCACTGATGAGAGAAAGACACATATAACAGATTTCATGTAAGTAAGTGTTCTTTTACGGAAGGTTACAGTCTCCTTATCAGCCTTCAAAAATCTTTTTTTTTTTCTGCCACAGATAGTTTTCTCTTCAGAAGCAAGTGATGTTTAATTCATATCCATATGCATACTGTCATTTATTGAGTTTGTTTCCATTGCACTTTGCTGCGCCTGGTTTGTATCAATACATCAATGTTTCCACCTCAAATCCTTCTTTTTTTTTGCAATACATCAAATTTTCTTCTTAAATTTATGATCTTTCCAGTAAGGTTTTCTTAATGTGCAAACTGAAAATGCTAGGAGGTTGCCCAAAGTGTAGTGTTTGCACTCATACAGGTAAAACAGTAATGTCCACATCCCCAAAATCCATTAAGTACATTTCAGATTACATTTAAGGCTCACCTTTTGCTAACTTTGCTTGGACAGCAGGCCCAGCTGCAGTCAGAATAGCTTTGGAGACACCTGTGGAGTTGATGAATACACAGTTAGGATGCAACCTAGGGTAATAAACTTTACAATATATGAAACTCTTCAGCAGACTGAGGTGCTGCGGTCGTACCTGCCGGGTTATTAGAGAAGTCAGTTGTGTTGACAATGACATCGGTGCCCTCATTTGTGATGTCACCAAGGACCATCTGAAGTTTGACTCCGCCCAGCATTGCTGTGATCTCATCATTAGTTGCAGAGACATGGCGATAAAAGGAAGCTGAACCATGGCAATAAAAAAGAAAGTACAATCTTGGTTTAGCATCTGCATTTATACATTCTGAATATAAACACTGAAGCAATCAGGTTTCACAATTCAAATTAGCTAAACTACAACTGACAAAGAACACAACTTCTTAGCCTCTTTTAGTTTGTCGTTTTGGTTTTATAGAGCATGTCTTTTAGCAACCAACCTCTGTACACTACAAGCCCAAAGTAGCATTTAACCACAGGCTGAGGAAGAACAGGTTAAGACCAAGCTATTTTTCTCAGCTTGTTTAAAAAAATTGTTTCTGGTCCCAAAAAGCTGTAAAATGATGAATGTAGTCTTACGATTTTGGTAGAAACGAGAACATTAGCGAGTCGACCCATCCGTTTCCCTTTTCCTTTATATCTCAGGGTGTTTCCTCTTAAAAGTGAAGACAGGGAGCTAAGTTCGGTAATTGACATAAGAGCCGAAAAGAACTGTGAATAAAAGGAGGTAGATTGAGTGATGAGGAGGAGGATTAGGATGCTGCGTTCAGAGGACAGACAGAAGAGCGAGGACCTGGCTGGGGAGGGAACCGACTTTGGACTGACGGGACAGTATGGCCAAAAATGACTGACAATCTTTGACAATTTTTGTATCTAATACTTTTATTTCTCTGCAGAGATTGTGATTCTGTTCTTTCAGATTCTTATCGTTCAGATTATTGAACTGCCTTGCAAATTATTGAACTGCTTAGAATTATTGTAATAATAAATAATCATTGTAAAGATTTGCCTGAATGAATTTAGTTCACATCAGACCTCAACAACCACATTAACACATCAAATGAATGTAGCATTGACAGAAAGAAATACACACAACCACTTATAAACACACCCAGGCTCACCCATATGCACACAGTACAAACCAGTGTTGATAGCTGGGAAGGCTACCGAGCGGTAGCGATTGCTCTCACACTTCTTCAGTATCTTTTTGCAGTTCTTGCGAATCACCTGAGGATCACCCATAAAACTAGCATGGATGATTTCACTAC